TATATATATATATTGAAGAAGATGAAGAAGAAGAAGAAGAAGAAGAAGATGGAATAAAATCGTTAGAAAATTACTTTCATCGTTGTAATATTGATAATATAATGTTCTTATTATTATTATTATTTTTTTTTTGTTTTTTTATTGTAATACTCTTTATATATTCATAGTATTCTTGTTATCTTCTTACACTTCTTCTCCTATTTTCGTTGAATTTAATTTGATATTCTTTTATTATATTTATAAGATTAGGATATTGATCTATGACATCCTTGTTTGTTAAAGGTATTTATTATATTATCCAAATCTTTATCTTTTCTTTTCTTTTCTTTTCTTCCACCTTCCCCTCCTCCTTCGATGGTTATCATTTTATTTATCATTAAAACTTGAGATACAATATTGAAATCATTTGAAGTTTAAAGCTTGTTGGATTTTGTCATATGGTACAGAGGACACGTGTGTGTTCATGAGAAAAGACATTTTTTTTTATTATTTATTTTTTTTTTTTTTTTTTTTACAAAAAACCATATGAAGAAACGAGAAAGAAATAAAATAAAATAAAGAAACCTAAAAAGAAAGTGAGAAAAAAGAGAGAGACAAAAAGAGAAGCAAAAACCTTGTTGTTTTCGTTTTCGTTTTCGTATTATTTAGTATTTCGTGTTAGAAACTAATTTTTTTTTTATTGAAGTGTTACACGAGTTATATATATATATTTCTAAAAACATGAAACAAACATAAAAAAATTAACTAAACACATTTGAGAAAAGAAATGAATATAAATTCTAGTCAACTAGAAGAAGAAGAAGAAAAAGAACAAGAAGAAGAAGAAGAAGGTGAAGGAAGAGAAGGAAGAGGATGAGGTGGGGTTAGGGGGTTACGGGGAAGGTGGAGGAGGTTGAGGAGAACGTAGGGAGCCCCTTGGAAAGTGCGTGCGTGGGTCCACCAACGAAATTATGGATCGAGTCGAGCCGAGCGTTCGCGTCTGCGCATTTTAACTTATCCTACAGCTTTCTCTTTCTCTCTCTTCTCTCTTTATCTTTATCTTTCTCTTTCTCTTTCTCTTTCTCTTTCTCTTTTTCCCCCCTTTCCTCTCTTTAGTTTTCTTCTCACTCTTTACGTCCCCTCTCTGTTTTTTTCTTTCTTTCTTTCTTTCTCTTAACTTGCACGTTTTCTACGCGTTTTTCCCCGTACCCGGGTGAACATGAAAATCCGTACAAATTCACCCCTTGGTATATATACACCCCCGTCTTCTCTCTCTCTCTCTCTCTCTCTCTTTCTCTCTCTCTTTCTCTCTCTCTCTCTTTCGTTTTTACTTCTATTTTATTTTTTTTTCGTTTGAACCGTTCATTCTCTCCCCCTTTTTCTCTCTTTTCGTTTATTCTTTTTCACGCGTTACCCTTTGTCGATTATATTCTGTTCGGAGGGTGGTTTTGATGGAACACATATGCACTTGTACAAATTTAACCTCATTTATTTTATATAATTGTGAAATAACGAGAAAGATAAAGAAAGAAAATGTGAGACAAAATGATTGAATAATTTAATCATTATTTATTTGTTAAAAGACTTCAAAGTTATACGAAGTTTTATGTATTTTATAGATTAATTTAAAGAGTTTTTTTTTTTATGAGAACACGGTACGAATTTTTATTTTTATGTTAAGTAAAAGAAGAAAAAAAGAAGATAATAATAATAATTTAGATTTTGTTTTATTTGTTTCAATAATATATTATTAATTAGAACGCATCAAATGAATTTTATATAATTGATCAGCGATTTTTAATCAAAGATTAAATATTTTATAATTACAAGTATCATATTTTTAAAAATGCATACAATAATTATACGATTATATTATTATAAATAATATATTTTTATTTATTAATTTATATTATATATTTTTTTATATATTGTATAATATATTTTTATTATTATATTATAATACTATTATAATTAATTAAATTAATATTTTGTAATTACAAATATCATAATTTTTAAAAATGATGCATACAGTAATTATACGATTATATTATTATAAATAATATATTTTTATTTATTAATTTATATTATATATCTTTTTATATATTATATAATATATTTTTATTATTATATTATAATACTATTATAATTAATTAAATTAATATTTTGTAATTACAAATATTATAATTTTTAAAAATGATGCATACAGTAATTATACGATTATATTATTATAAATAATTTATTTTTATTTAATAATTTATATTATATATATATATATTTTTTTTTATATATATATATTATATAATATATCTTTATTATTATATTTTACTCAAAATAATGATTCCCTTTCGGGATACATGGGTATTTTTATTTTTATTATTATATTATAATAAAATACTAATATACTTTTTTACGAAGATAGGTGAGTTAAAAAAAAAAAAACAATATTTAAGATTAGGTATAAATATAAATTGAATGTCATCAAAATGAAATTGTTTATCTAACATTAGTCAATTTCAAAATTTGTCAATCAATCTGATAAGAAAAAGAAAAGGAAATGAAGAAAGATAGAAAAGGACAAGAGAATGAGAAGGAGAACAAGAGAGAAAGTGAAAGAGGGAGATTAAACATATGGTCGTTAGACTAATATTTGGAAAATTTATTATTCACATTCATTTAGTATCAAGGAAGACGACTCAATAGAACAGTGTTTATAAGACCGTCGTGAGAAAAGGTAAAGGAGAGAAAGAGAGAATTAAAGAGAGAAAGAAAGAGAGAGAGAGAGAGAGAGAGAGTACAGTTTTTCACGAAAGTATTCATTTGATTTTAGCGAGATTATGCAAGAATCTTCATACGAAGCACGTTTATGTAACAAATGACACGTGTATTATAAACACACACACACACACACATTACAGAAATTAATTTTTTTTTTTTCATTAACATGAACACACACGTGTATTATATCTAATACACGTATAAGATACAAAAAAATAAGTAACAATATATATACATAAATATATACACTCGTTAGAAGAGTATAAAACGCAATTAATAATTCAAAAAGGATTTTGTTAGTTTGGTGATTGATATAAATAAAAAAAAAAACGGGGTTTGGTACAAATAAAAAAACAAAAAAATAGAAAACAAAATAAAAAAAGGGTGCATGGTCCAACTCGCGATTGAATCTATTTTAAATGTTACTTCATGGACGAGTTATCCGTGATGCACAAACCATTACGATCTAGTCAGTATTGCATAGTAAGTATTTCTCTCTTGCAAGTGTATATAAAATATGCATCATATATATATATATATATATTGGTAGAGACAATGATGACAACGAGGATCGAACGAAGGAATGTTTTTTCCGTTCAACGCGTCAATTAAAACTGCTACGACGTTAATGTGATAGTCGGTTCGTGGTTCTTTCAATGATGATGTAACTATTATTACAAGAGAACCTCTCTGTGTTGTTATCTTAAAACAACCTATTGTATAAACACATATACATACTTATGTATATGTATATGGTAATGTGCGTGTGTGTGTACCAATGTTATAAATTTGTACAATCTTTAATAGAGAATTTTTTATTTTCCTGTTCTGTTCTGTTCTTGATTCGATGAATAATAATTTTTTCTATTTAATTCAATCATGTTCAATGATTAGTACATATAGATATATTACGTATGTTTGTTATATTGTGTTATAATTAAGTTTGTATAATTATTATTAGGAAGATTTGAGAAATGGATTTTTTAGTTTAACTATGGGTGATGATTTTTTTTTTTTTGGCATTTATTTTCGTCGATCGATCAAACGTTAAGAATTTTAACGTCGTAGAAATCGTTTTGTTTCTCTCTTATTATTCACACACTCTGATATCTTATATAACACACGTTTTACATGTACCTTACGTAAATACGAAACAATATGGAATCTATTTTATTCATTATTCTTTGTTTCTTTTTTTTTTTTAAATATTTATTACTCCATTAAATTGCTTAGATTTTGTATAAGTTATTTTTGTTGTATGTCATATTCATGAGTTTTGATCAAGTCTCGAAAATGATTATAATGATGATGATGATTATTATTATTATTATTATTATTTATTATTATGATAATTCTGATGAATATTATTAATTTTTTAATGTTTCAGGGATTACAGTCTTCTAGAATAATGGGCGAGAAAACGTTCAATCTTACTTGGAACAATCACCTTGCAAACTTGTCAGGTTTGTTCGAGGGTCTTTACAAAAGTGGCTCCCTCACGGATGCGACCTTAGCTTGTCAGGGTGGCATGTTAAGGGCACATAGGCTTGTTCTGGCAGCATGCAGTCCATACTTCGAAAGAGTTTTCAAAGAACATTATGGAGAACAACCTATTCTCATACTCAAAGGTATGATATAATTATTATTAAATGTATTACATACTCTTATTTATATTTTTGAATTTTTTATTAAAAATAATTTTCTTTATTTTTTCTTATTTCTAATTGAAATATTAAATTTATGTGTAGTTAAATTCGATTAGATATAATTATTATTAAATATATTATAGAAACTTATTTTTATATTTTTAAATTTTTTATTGAAAGCAATTTTCTTTATTTTTTATTATTTCAAATATAAATATTAAATTTGTGTATAATTAAATTCGACGAAATATTTGGACATATTATTAAAAACTATGATACATTTTCTAAATGAATAATAATCGATCGATATTATTCAACAGTGTGTTGTTTCATTAAAATTGAAGCGTAAATTTATTGAAAGGTTCATCGAAATCTTGAACCTCTTAAAAAAAAAAAAAAGAAAAAGAAATCTAATTTCTTTCTTTTTTATTATTATTATTATTATTATATTTCCATATTACTTGATTATAAAGTCAACGTTAACTCATTATGCTAATGAATTTCATGTCACGAGGTTTCTCTTATCGTTAAAGCACGATAAGGAAAATCTCAATGTATATTAAATGGGATCGTTTGTTCGTGTATGCATGCATATGGGGGAAACAATACATAGCATGTGTCGTTTGAATTGAATAATATACCTTTAGGTATATATATATATATACAATTGAACTGGCAGATCTATATATATATATATATGTATATGGATGTGTATAATGTAATATCATACTATCCTTTAACAATCGTTTACTCTACTTTCGTGCTACTCGATTTATTATTGAAATTGGATTTGCATCAACTAAAAAAAAAAAAAAAATTTTTTTCCTTTAATCAAGGACTCGAGAAATTAATTACACTTTTACTCCTCTAACGAATTGATAATCCAATGAAATGGATGATTGAAAAAGAAAAAGAAAAGGAAATTAAAAAGTAATTAATCTTTAAAAAAAATATTCCATTAATATTTTATCTCAATAATAATTTTATATTAAATGTTATATTGAAATTGATAAAAATTATGATATTATTTTTAAAATATAGATTGTTCAAATATTTGTTTATTGTATTAATAATTATTTTCAATATTGACGTATATTTTGTAAGAATTTTTTACAATAATTCATAAAATAGTTTCAGGTGTGTAACTTTTATTTAATGTTTTAACAATCTTTTGAATATATGAGATATTGATTTTAGTTAAATTAGATATTATTGATGGTAAAATTTGTTCAAGAAGTCATTATGTTTAAAAGAAAAATATACAGAATTTTGTTAATAATATAAATAAATTTTTAATGAAAAAATAAATTAAAAAAAAATAAAAAAACATTTATTCATCATTTAGTTATTACAAATTGCTATAAGATATGTTAAAAATCAATTTATAAAAAAAATAAATAAAATTAATAATTAAAATTAAATAAAATATATAATATATAATATATAATATATAATAAAATAAATAAAAATAAATAAAATAAAATATATAAGATATAAAAAAAAATAAATAAAAAAAAATAAATAAAATGTATAATATATAATAAGATAAATAAATAAAAAAAAAAAAAAAAACGAAGAAATAATTCAGTTAATTATTCACAGGTGTTGCAGTGGAAGAAATGGAATGTCTTTTGGATTTCATGTATCGTGGATCAATCGACGTAGCCGAAGAACATTTACCATCGTTGATAAAAACAGCGACAGATTTGGAAATACGTGGTCTATCGGGTGATCAAAGAAATCAGGATAACAATCGAAATTCTTATAACAGATTAGATTCATCGAGAACTCAACGATGTCACATAGAAGCAAGAGTACATACAACCGAGTATATAAAAGAACCATCGGTTATTCCTTTTTTACCAAAACAATCGTCGGTTGAATCGTTGGAGGATAACATCAAGGTCGAAGAGATCGAGGTCGAGGACGATCCTATGGTCATGGACGGTCACGAAGATACATACGACGAACCATTACGATCATCCGGAACGCAAATCGTAAGTAAGATTTTATTTCATTTGATTTTTATTTAAATTTTTGTTAATTGTTTATCATTTCATTCGATTTTTATTTTTGTCTTTTTTTTTCTTTTTTTATCGTAAGTTTAAAGTGTCTTTTATTTTTTAATTAATACGAATAAATTTTGGAATTATTTAAAATTATGGTATGAAAAGATTTAGATTTGTTTTTATTTTATTTTACTTGGTATATTAATATTTCGATTATTTTTTATTATTTATAAATATATTTCATTGTATTATATTTAAATTTTTAATTTGTAATTTTTTTTTTTTTTTTTTATAGAAACTTTTAAGGTTTAAGGTTTTATTAGAAAATCTAGCAAAATTATCTACTTTTAAATAATATTTTTGTCTTAATTATATTATCGTTATTAATAATAAAAATTTGAATTATTTCAAATACGATATAAAAATCTTTTTATCTTATCTTTTTATTTTATATTACTTGGTATTAATACTTTAATCATTTGTAATTTTTGTAATTTGTTTTTTATGCTTAATAGAAATTTTTTTGAGGGTTAAGATTTTATTAAAAAAATCTAACAAAATGATTTATTTTTAATAAATAATGTTATAAATGTGTTGTTTACACAATTTTTGTTCTAATTACAGTATTATTTCTTTTTTTGTTTAGAGACGTATACCACCACCAATGTATAAAAGAGAGACCAGATACAAGGGACAAAAAAGAGTATCGGTAGGTCGTATAACAAGAAATAGTGATCCATTAGAAATCAAACCAAAGGATCGTTCAACTTTAAGGGACGATGATAGAGATTGGCGTTACGAGGATGCGAGTAGTACTGTAAAATCATTCAACAATGGTTCTATTGATCCAACGGTACCAGATATTCAAATGAATGATGATTTGAGAGAACGAGAAGAAAATATGGTATGTACACATATTCATAAATCCAACAGATAATTTTTTCTTAATTAATTAATTAATTAAATCATTGATAATTTATATTCAATTTAGATATCACCAAAGAGCCCAGAAGAAACCTTGAGAATAGGTGTAAAAAGAAAAGCAGATATGATTACAAAACGTGGTAGTGGTAGTAATGGTAGTGCTAATGGTGGTAGTGCTAATGGTGGTGGTGGTGGTGGTGGTAGTGGGGGTGGTATAAACGAAGGAAGGGAAGTTAAAAGTTCATTAAAATCCGAACGTGCACAATACAAACCTTTTTCATGCGACCTTTGTATATTGGCTTTTACACGAGCATCACATTTGGCAAGACACAGAAGAGTTCATACAGGTGAAAGACCATTTGCGTGTAACATATGTCCAAGAATGTTTGCAAGACAAGACAAATTGAAACAACATTTGGATTCTCATTTACAATCATCCAAAAAAAAGACCAACTTAAATTCAACTCCAACAATTTCTACGCCATCTTTACCGGTTAAAGGAAAACGTGGAAGACCCAGAAAGGTTTGAACTATGATCATTTTGATAAATGTTATCAAAGTAAAATCTTTTTATATATATATATATATACATATTTTCAAACATGTTAATATAAATTGTGTCATGGATTTGTTTTTGTTTTTTTGTTTTCAGGTTAACACCGAACAAACGGCCATGCAGGATTTTTTAAAATTCGGTGAATTTAGTTCGTTACTCGACAAATCGCAAACCAATGACGTTGGTTTATGTAAAAACGATGAAAATTCTAGCAAAACATCATCGTCAACGAGTGCTACAACAACCATGACGTCTACGACTACGATTACCACGGATCTTGATAAAAGGGGACACAATCGGGATGATTTTTCTAAACAGAGGGATCTTCTTAACGATAGCAACAAAGATAAGGAAGATGATAAGGATAAGGATAATTATGGGTGTCAGGTTGAAAATGGTCAAGATATCGTTTAATGTAACTTGACAATGTTTCCATAGTTTTCGCTTTAATCAAAAGTAACTTTTCTCTGTTTAAAGTTATGATCATTTATAACGTAACATAAGGTAATTCTCATTTATTTATTTATACAAAAAACAAAAAAAAAAAGAAAGAAAAGAAGAAAAACCAACGGAAATTTTTTTGCACAGATTTAATTATTAATTAATTATTCTTCCGTTTATTCACGTATAATTGTACCTGAGTCTGATTAACACTGACGGATTATGTGCTATATACATTTTTATTAAGAATTATTTGCATAAAGAAGAAAGTATTGATAAAAGGAGAAAATATAAAACATAAGTTTGATTTTTTATTCAAGGAATAACACTTTTAAAAAGTGATTTTGATAGGATCAAAAATTTAATACGACATTCAAGTAAATACGAAAGGGGAATGTTCGTTTTAATTATTAATAATCGTATTGTATTAGGATGATTAGAATGAATTAATATAAACAAGATTGAAGATTCGAATTTAACGATAGATGGAAAAATATAATTTAATTTAGGGTTTCTCAAAGTTTATCCATTCGATTAAACTCCCTTCTTCATTTCTATGGTTCAATCTTTTCGTTACACTGTGCATTAATTTTATACTATTTTTATTTTTATTATATTAAACTTACACACATGATTATACGTTTAGTTTAGAATTCATTTTGGTTTATCTAAAGAATTGATTATTTTTATTTCAAATGTTGACGAACCCCATTTATGGACCATACACTTTGAGAAATTCTGATTTTATTTATCAACTCCATCAATTTTATTCGTCATTCGTTGTTTTATACGATTACCAAAAAAAAAAAAAAAACTAATAAACCTATTAACTTAACACTTAAAATGCATACAACGGTATTATAGATAACAAAATACGTTTACCATAAAATATTTATTATGAAATTAGGAACGTAATGCTTTTAACGATACCCCCTCCGGATCGTTTAAATAATTTATAGATATTATAAAATACGTATTGCAAAATATGTGCAAAATTGTTTACTTATAATTGGTGAACTCAATGATAACGCATTGTTAACCAATTATTTATGTTAACAAAAAATATTATACATAAATACTTACATGCATACATATACGTACATTCATACATGCATACATACATACATACATACATACATACGAACGTACGTATTTAAAATAATTTTCGAATATTTTGTCATACATACTACGATAAGACAAGTACAAATTTCCAAATATTAGTGCACCTATTGAAAATGAACATTACGATGCGTATGAAGTGGTGTGTATGGCGTTATGGTGGTGTGATATGTGGAAAAAAAACGTATATATATATATGTATACATGGCTATTGATTATTATTTAAAAAAAAAAAGAAAACAATTTATTTTGCATATGACAATGCAATTTGAATTTGTTTAAGAGTATCGAGTCAGAAAGGAAAAAAAGAAAAAACACAAAAATTTCGTCGACTAGATATAAACTTAAAGTTTCATTGTTTTATTAATATATATATATACGATATTATATATCTTCTTGATGTTTATTGTTTATACGAATTTAGATTAGATATTATCGGGTATACATTTAAAAAATGAAAATGAAAAGAGAAAAATGAAACTAAAAAACTAAGAAACAAATACAAAGAAGAAAATTCATTTAGTATTTCGTACGAGTTGTCAAATTGAAATAATATATTTAAGGAAGATTGTTTTACACGTTGTATTTTTTTTTTTTTTTTAATATTAATAATTAATAGATAAATGCAATGGAATGAAGTACTTTGTAAGATTGCAAAGTACGATTGTTTATTCTTTTTTATTTTTTTTTTTTTTTTTTTTTTTTTTTTTTTTTATTGTACGCGTTTATGCAAATTTTATTTTCTATTTTGTTTTTCTTTCTCCTAATATAAAATTATATTTCAAATTAATTTATCAGTAATAAATTTAATGTGTTATTTTTTATTTTTTTTTTATTTGTATTGAGTTACAAACAAAAATTTCTGTTTATTTTTATGTTTGTTTGAAAATAACGTGATATTAAAATATTGCAATAATTTCGTTCGTATAATTTTTAATCTCTCAATTCGTTTGATTAAAAATTGACAAGGAGTATTGAAAAAAAAAAAAAATGAAACTAGTATCAATTAGTCCAATTTGTTTAGTATTTTTAATCGATCGTTGTTGTTGTTGTTTGTTAAAGTGTAAAGTTTCGTTTTTAGTTGTTCAAACGACTATATTGTTGTTTAAAACTTGCTTCAATACTATCGTATTATTTCACTTTTTAAGATTTGTTTATAATTACTTTTTTTTTTTTTTAATTTTCATTTGTATTTTTTTATTTTTTTTTTTTTATTTTATTAAAACCATGTGCAATTCTTTAAGTGATATAATATATATATATATTTACGAGCAAAACAAAAACTTGTATGCAAGTTTAAATATCGTGAGTGATTATGCGAGTGAACAACATAAGTGAGTCTTCATATCTTATAATGTATTATATTATGTAGCAACATAATGTAAATATAATATATCTCATGACACAGCATATACAATTTTTATCCCTTTCTATATACAATTATATGTAAATATGTATGATACAGACAGTATATCTGTGACATAATTTACAAAATTTAGGTATTCAACAAGAACAGCAACAACAACAACAACAAATGATGGGGTATGTAATTAATCAAAAAATCTTGCGAATATTAATATTAATATTAAACTTACCATATAAATAATAATATTATCGTCTTCTCGTTGGTGATACAAGAGAAAACATGTGCACATTTATTTTTTTTATTATTATACAAATTTTTAGATAAAAAAAAAAAAAAACTTGTAGGATTATAAAATAGGATTTGAAGGAGGAAAAAGTTTAAAAAAGAAACTGATTGATGATACATTATTGCCATAATTTACAAAATTTAGGTATTCAACAAGAACAGCAACAACAACAACAACAAATGATGGTGTATGTAATTAATCAAAAAATCTTGCGAATATTAATATTAATATTAAACTTACCATATAAATAATAATATTATCGTCTTCTCGTTGATGATACAAAAAAAAACATGTGAACATTTATTTTTTTTTATTATTATACAAATTTTTAGATAAAAAAAAAAAACTTGCAGGATTTTAGAATAGGATTTGAAGGAGGAAATGTTTAAAAAAAGAAACTGATTGATGATGCATTATTCATCGATAACATAATTTTACTCACTCAATAAAAACTTTACATAATAATGACGTATCACGTAGTAATAATTCTTTAGGTATATCGATCATGCAACGATACGTTTTTTTTCTTTTTCTTATTTTCTGTGTTACATTTTGTTTTCTTTACGTAACAGTGGATAATGTATTCGTCGCCATTTTTTTGTTTGTTAACGGTGTCATTCTTTCCGTGTGTATGTATTATGTGTTTTGTATATATATATGTGTGTGTATATACATATATTTATATATGTGTGTGTGTGTGTGTATATTTTACGTACCACAGGTGATTGACGATTTCGTTTTATTTTTTCACCTGAACACTTTCTTGATCATTCTCAATTTGTGACTTTTTTTTTTTATAATATCGTTCATTTGTATTTGTTCGTATTCGTTCGTTTACTTTTACAAGTCCCATAATATGCGTTTCGCTGTAAACTTATACACCCTCGCAATGTACAGCGCTGTTTTTTCTTTCTTTTTTTACTTAATTATTTATTATTTACTTTTTCTTTTATCGTTTTTTCTCTTTTTTCATTTTTATGGTTTGTTTATTTATTTTTTTATTTTTTTATTTTATTTTTTTTTTTTTTTGTATAAATACAATTCGTGTGTTCTTTTTCAGAGCAATAATCGATTTGAACAATCACGCGCGCACTCGTTTTTTCTTTTCTTTTTAATCATTTAAATTTTCATTTTCAATTTGGAATTTTCAATTTGTCAATTGAAAACTTTCGTTTTCTTTTTTCATTTCATTTAATTTCGTTTCATTTCATTTTGTTTTCTATTCGTTTAGTTTACGTTTACGTTTACGTTTCGGCAAGTCGTATAAAGATTTTGAGTTTATGTTATTTCAAAAATCGAATCGAATTGGTAGACATTTCTTTTTACATTTGACGTTTATTCATTAAATGAGAATTTATATGAATCATCGGTACTTGCGATGAAAAAATAGGGTGGGAGAGGGTGTGAGGGTACAAAAAGAAATTCTGATGGGAGAAAATTTCGTATCTGATCGTTCTAATCGAATCGTTATTATTCTAAACACGATTTTATGTGATTTTTATCTCGTTTTAATCAAACGCGAGAGATCATTTTATCGCTTTCGTTATTTTTTATTTTTATTTATTTATTTTTTTTTTTCAATGACATAAATGTTCGATGATTTGAATAATACGTTTTTTTTAAATAAATCTTTGCAAATGAGAACGCGATAATAATTATTCTAATTGAAATTATTTAAATGATCTTAGGAATTATCAAAGAGATTTATCTTTTTCCATTTTTATTGATAAAAACCATTGAACTTTTATTTTGTTTTTCATTCATCATCACACACATCTTCTTTTTCTTTCTTTTCTTTTCTTTTTTTTTTTTTTATTAATATTATACGAATTCGATTTTTTTTATTTTTTTTTTTTTTTTATTATATTTTATTTAATAATACTTTAATTTATAATTTAATTTAATTTAACGTGCGCGCGTCAATGTCAACGACTGCTTACATTTTGTAATTTTTTCATTTCATTAATTTCATTCCTCTCGTTTTAAATCCTCCTCCTTCACCTCTTCCTATTCTTCTTTCACATTTTTTTTTTTTTCTTAATCTTCCTTTTACGTCTCGATACTTAGTTTTGTACGTAATAATTAATTATCGCATTATACCGATGTATAATAATAATAGTAATAATAATAATAATAATATCTAGATTATTTTTTTCTTTTTTTTTTTTTGTTATCTCGGGTAAGAACTTTATTTAGAATATTATTTTCAGTGAGCAAGTAACTTGGAGAATTTCTTTTCCCCATCTTCTTATCTTCATTGGCTTCTTCGTTTCTCCATTTTTTCACCGTTTTTTTATATATATATATATATATATTCAAGTTTCGCAAAATCCTCTTTTTTCCCTCCTCTACCACAATTCAAATCTTTTTTCTTTTCCTTTCTTTTCTTTTCGTTTGTTAATTAATTAATATTTATTTATTTGCTTGTTTGTTTTTCTTTTCTTTCATTATTAAACCTCTCCTCCCCTTCCTCACCCCATGCAATCGTTTTATCTGTTTTTTATTATTTTTCTCACAAACTTTACAACCCCATCGAGTTTTTCATACTTTTCTTGGCAGTCAACACAAGCGTTCCTGGTTACTACGTACTTTTTTTAATTTATTTATTTATTTTTTTTTTTTTTTTTCTAAAATGCATTCCTGTATCTCATTTTTCATTTGACTTTTTCACTTGAGTACATACACATACGTGTTTTTTTTTTGTTTTCCCCTATCACATATTCTCACATACACATCACGTATTTTTTTTTTTCGACGTATTTTTACGCATTACATTTAAATATTACATTCATACATGGACACATACACACATTTAATAAACGCTCATTCGTTTTATCCATCGTATTGTATTATTATTTTTATTATTTTGTAATTTTTGCTTTGAATTAATTTTTTTTTTTTTTTCGTTCCTTATAATGCGTCTCGTCTTTTTTCTTTTTTTCGTTTTTTTTTTCTTCTTCTTTTCCTTGATATAGATTATAATATAAATAATTTATTATTTATTATTTATATTTTAGTTAGAGAGTATTTTATTCAATTCGAATGCAAAATTTTAATCATTTTGTTCAATGTGCGAAACATTATGCGAATAATTGAAATTTTTCTCTAAAATTTTCTCAAAAAAAAAACAAAAACAAAATGCAATAAAAATATTAATAATAATTGATTAGTATGAAAAAGTTATATAAAATTAATATAATAAATTATTATAGTAATTATTAATAATAGTTTATAAAATTAATTAATACAAATAGGTTAATATAAAATATATATTATTTTAATTATTATAAATTAATATAT